CCGCTCACAGAGAAACAAGAATGGCTTTTGTATGCTTGATTTATTCAACGTGATGTAAATAAACCTTGGATAAAACACCAAAAGCAAGCCTGTTTTCTATCCTGAATCGTTTCAATGAATGACATGAGTCATGTTTTCGAATGGAAAAATCATACCACTTCTAAAAGAGCGGCCTGAATAAATTACCTTCAAATAGTGCTTCCTCCCAGTTGCCCTTCACTGGTATTCGGAAGTGTAACTTGAGCGATGAAGACGTGCCTTAAATTATTGTGATACTAACTCTCAGTTATCAGTCCGACCAAGTAAAAATTATCCATGTGATACTTTGCTAGTTTCTCTTATACGATAAGATTCAGCATCCAGTGTCAACGCTCATTACCCACTGGAACTCCACGAAAGAACGTCACAGCTGTTTCGCTATCAGCTGCACTTCAGATGCTTTGAATCCTAAATGAAACTTGAATCAAAGGTGCAGCATTATGAGTTCCATACTTGTACAGGGCAGTTCCGAGGTCTCAAAATCCCGGTCATATCAACACCATCGTATGGAGAACCCACTTGACATTGCCCTTGAGAACTACTGGAGCGTCATACACCAGTTTGACTGTGAGATTTTCCTGGAATAGCCCTAAGCCCATATCTTATGAATAGACAAGGTTCAGTTGGGAAAGGTCAACCGTTACGCGTAGAACTCGGTCGTTAGCAGTTCACACCCGAGAAGTATAAACCACTAACTGGTGGATCAGAAAAGCTCATATTTCATTGTAAAAAAACATTCTGCTATGACCCGGCAATTCACATACCTGTGATGATTCGACTCGGGTCAAATACTGCCAGCGCTCTCCTTGTAAGTGTATTGGCCGTCTGTATCTTTGGGATCTGCTCCACACAGTTTATTCGTAAGTTTTTCGGAGGAACATATTTACCGGACTAAATCCGCAAGTGAATTTTACTCCAGAAATAAATGATAAGAGCCCACACAAGATGAGAAGGGTAAAAATTACATAAATCTACGGCAGAGCTGCACTTTCCTGGGTCATTTTGAACAGATTGTTTCGTTAGTCGATCTACCGGCAAACATCATTCGTTCCGTTATCGTTCACGTGATTATTCGCACACACGATTCTATTGGATACGCTCGTTATAGCGGAATATATTAAGCAAAATAAATTTAATAATATTATCATCCTTCTTGTCAGTTTCAAATATGCTGAGCAAACATGTCAGTCGCTGTTCTCTTTCTGGTCCTCCATTTAGAGCTAAACAGTCATATTCCAAGAGGTATGTTCATAAACCCGAGTGCAATTTCCTTAAACTAAAAATGATATAATTTATAAATGTTAAACTGTTGTGAACCTGCAGGACAAATTGTAAACTAGTCTGTCTGTGAAATGTTTGCTTTCCATGCTGAATAAGTTCTCCTTAAATGAGAAAGGATACGCACCTATCAGTAATCGAAATATTTATTCCCTAGGGTATATCCACACGTTCGGAGTTTTGTTTGAGCAAGGTCGTCGTGCTAAAGACTTGGAAATAGAAACTCTAAATTCAAGCCCTCAATCAATGCGGTGCAAAGTTTGTACTACGTATTTGGAATCTTTAGCTTGTGGCTGTCCTGAAAGATGTTACCCATGTTCATATTCCAAGGTAGATAACACTTGTTACAAGTCCTGACTGGTATATGAATAATCCAAGTCCCGATTTCAAAGTGGTCATCTGCAACCACTAAACATACCGTCAACTGTTATGTTCATGGAATCTGTCCCTTCCGTTGAAAAGATGAACATCTTGAAAAATAGGGTTATAAGTAGTGAGGGAAGCTAATAGTTAATCCCTGGGAAGAAACTAAAAAGGTGACAGTCTTCTTTGAAGTCGTAGTCTAACGTATATTATAACGTCAACTAACAAACAGGCTTACTTTCAATGCCTCAAGCTTTAGGCCCGATAAAGGATATATTATCGGCACGGCATTTAAGATGACTAAAAATGAAAACACCAAGGAACATGACGAAGGCAATGTTAGATTACGTATCCGCTGTGATATGGTGCCCGCAATACCTCACGACAGAGGAAAAAGGGCATTTCCCAGGTCAAGGAACCTTGAAGTAACAGATTACACATCTTAGCGCAGTTCATTCGTCCTTCCATGTGTGGTCACATTTTGTGGCAGAGACAAGGGTAATAAGTTGAAGGAAGTTAGTCCGGCTTCCAGTGCCCTTCATGTGACTGGTCTCTTCTCCCACACCAACCGTTATAACTCCCATAATGACTTGCTTAAAACTGTCAACTATTCTCAACTGGTCACTAATTAATGTTTATGCAATCAGGATGCGACTCTTTTGGTATGCACACTGCATTTCTGTGTAGCAAGCTGTATAACCCGCTTTAGGACGTTAACATTCAGGCCTTTCAGCGAAGGACAAATTACCTAAGGTCGGTCATTCAGTTGGGTCTTTGCTTTCAGCATCTTCGTGCTGAACAGAATGACACATTAGAAAGCTTCATATTCACTAAAGAATCAGGTGAGATAAGAAACAGTTGTATGGGACGGATTTTGGAATGGTCTGTGGTTTCAAAAATACCAAACTAGATAACAGTATGATGTGTTTTACTGCCCCATTTTGTTCGTTCTCTTGTGGAACTTGACGAAACATATCATTCGATTGTCTTGCTACACTGACTGACCGTTGAAGAACACTAGCCTATGCTACAATCAACCCTCACTTTCAAAAGTATTGACAGAGCAATTGCAAGGCTAACTGTTTGGTGAGGGTCGCTTCAAAACTGAACCTTGTTAGAGGCGACTACTTGCATTCTGAACTCCAAATTCTGTCATAATCTAAGGCGACCATAGCGTGAAAAATGTTCACATATGCTACTTTTTGAGTGTCTAGAAAAAAATGCATCAATGAAATGTGTTATGAGTACTTAACAGTGACACAGAATTATCCATGGATTTTCTAATTATCTAAAGTCTTGGTGATAGAGAGTAAGCTGTTTCGTTCCGTCCCACCAGCTCTAGTGAGAAGTCTATTCCGCTTACGAAACATCTTATTTTATCAGCTAGAAACACATCGTTTAAATAGGAAGAAACAATCATTGACGTCAGTCGTTGCAACGCATAAGTAGCTTGTCCTCTTATTGGTTGATTGATCACACGACCAGCTGCCATTTGACGGGAATCCGTTCGCGTCTCATCGATTCGCTGCATTGTCATTCGAGCGTCCGCTGGCACAAGCACTGAAATGGATTCCGGCCAGGCGCTGACATGCCGATTACTGACGGGACATGGCTTGCTATCGACCATGAGTCAGCCCATACCCTCACATAAGCTTTCATAAAATATGTTTAAAATCAGTAGATTTTATAGTCTTATGTCATTGGGTGTCAACTGGTGCATGAGCTTGTACTCGTGGTAGGGCAGAGGAGCGAACTGAACCTGCACTCCCATTATCATCATCCGTGGTGGTGGAATCCTTTCAGGTCCATATGTTATTAACTCATTAGTCACGTTTGCTTCACCGAAGAAATATCATTTCCGCTATTTTGACTGATGTATACGGGGTGAAGATACCAGAGTGTTCTTGGTGTAAAAACGAATATCTTATTTGCCAAGAGCGTTTCTGTTTGCCTTTGAAGTACTAGGTCTTCTGAGGTACCCATGAAATTGAACAAATATTCCACAACTCCTGTTCGTCCAAATGATTTGTCTCCTATTCAATTGGAACCAATCTAGTAAAGGAGTTGGTACTTATCTGAAATGACTCAGATGTCGTATTTCCAACTAAATCATGCACTTTCATAAGATTTAGCCTCTTTTGCGTAACGAAGTGATGAGCACATGTTACATATACTACAGAGGGGTCAAACTAACTCTTGAAAACCTGTATTTGTGGGGATTTCTGATGACCCATCCTGGATAATTTCCAAAAACCAAGCACCAAAATCGACCTACTCAACGTCGTCTACTTCAAAACACTTTTCGAAGATAGAAATTTTCTTTGTGTCTCGGTCTTACCCCCCACGAATTTCTCATCCCTACTTCTAGAACAAACCGATGGATGGTGGCAGATTTTGATCAAACCATAGGTTCAATTGTGTATTTTTGTTTGTCAAAGACAAACTAAATCAGCGCGAAATATAACAGTGAGTGAGACAGCTACAAATCTAATTTTGGGCAATAAACTCAACAAAATATGACACAACGTAAAAACATGCTGAAAAAAGATCTGAGGAAGCAATTGATAACCCATCACGCATGAGGCAATGTGGGAACGTATAAAGTTAGACGTATTCATGAAAACCAAGACAGAAATACCGAGTGATTGAATATATTCCAAATTGGGTACAACGTTTTGTGATGCAATCAGGGTCAGATCAAATCATTTTACGTTTCGTACAAACTAAACGTTTTCCTTCTTGGCTACTAACGTACGGTTAGTAGTCACATTCCACATGTGAATCTCTCCCAAGTCATTCTCCTGTGTTGTTGGCACAAAGTTTGGTCATTTTAGTGAACTCAGTCCCGATTCGTGATAGGTCCTTAATCCAATCTGACGGTAACGTGACAATATGATTTTATTTTATTCACATGGATTTGATCTTACTCTTTCATGTGATTTGAACAGTCTTATCCGTTTCCCACTTTCTGACATTGACCTGAATTTGTTTGAATGAACATATGACGCTCCCGCCTGGTTTAACAGCAAATTTGACTATCCACGATCTGTGTCTCGCTCGGTTCAAAATTTGGCTGTATGTTTTGGCTATTCATTGTTCATTTACGTTGTATTGATTATAGAACCGTGTTTCGGAATATTACGTCTATCAGTTGAAGTCTTCTGAAATTTGTTCGAGACGCGAAATAAGCCACACCGAGAAGGAGCACCCTAGAAAGGCTTAAAGCAGCTAGGTCGTACGAACCTGAGTGGAATTCAATCGAAACGGTCAAAGTTGACGGTCGAAAGGATTTCGCTTACAGTTAGCCAATTCACCAAGCAATGCAGACCAATTCAGAAAAGTGTTTATCGGCCCCCGATCTGGAACGTTACACGACTGAGTCAGAAGAAACCATGGATCTCTTCAAGGAATTTAAAGAACGTTTGCGGTTGTCGGAGTGCAAGTTCAACATGAAGAGTGGAAAATATGAGGATCAGTATGCAAGAGCTACCACAGTCGAAGAGAAACCCGGTGGTGAGTCCCCAGTGGTCGAACGATCGCGGCCGCTGTCTACATTGGTATTTGGGGCCAGTGCCCCACCTGTTTCCGGGTTTGATACACCTCCATTTCCATCAAATAAGACCATTGGTTGTCAGAAGTTTAGTCAGGCACCCATATCTCATTCATTCACTTTACCACAAAGAGAAATAATTTATTTTGATGGAAACCCGAAAAAGTATTGGCTGTTCATGAGAAGTTTTGATAGTGCCATTGGGAAACGAGACATGGATGACGAGTGTCGCCTATCGTATTTAATACACTACTGTAAGGGTGAGGCTAAAGAAGCCATCGAGAGCTGTTCCATCCTGGACCCCAGCGAGGGAGACCAAGGCGCCTTAGAAATTCTCCGTAGGAGGTTTGGCCAAGCCCACGTGATAGCCAGGGCACACCTAGATAGCCTCGTGGACGGGCCCATCAATAAAACCATGGACTCAATGGTGCTGATGAAGTTGGCCGGGGAAATGCGGAACTGCCAAAACACTCTGAGTCAGTTAAATCGTGTTGCCGACCTCAACGCCTCTAGAACGCTTTCGGAAATAGTACGCAGACTACCTCAAGCCCTCTAGTTTAAGTGGTCTGAGGTTGCCGCGTCTATCATACGACTAGGCCGAGAGCCAGTCTTCTCGGATTTGACGGAATTTGTAGATGAGAGGGCCGATGTACAAATGGTTCATCAATCCTATTCTGTCACTTGGTCGAACTTACAAGCACGACCTCCTGCTGATGGGACCGCACCGCACAAAGCGTTGCTGCATCACTCACAAACAACTGTAGCGCCATCTGTTAAGCCGACAATAGCACGCAGGTGCTGTATGCAGTGCGAGGGAGACCATTACACGGACCAGTGTGAGAAGTTTATAGCGTGGAGTGTACCGGAGAGGCTTTCCTTTGTGGAGTCTAAAAAACTGTGTCATTTATGCCTAAAACCGAATCACGAGTCCGTCAATTGCAGGTCACGCACGACTTGTGGTATAGGACGTTGTATGCTGGGTCACCACCCCTTACTACACCCGCAAGACCCAGTGAGTACGGGGCGGAATCCGGCGACTATCCAAGACAACGCCCGTTGTCATGCGACTTCGGCTGGAAATTGTACAACCTCTTTGGGAATCATACCAGTCAAGGTTTTCGGGCCGCTAGGATCAGTAAAAACCTTCGCGTTCCTAGACGGAGGTTCCGACTCCACGCTTATAGACAAGAACCTGGCGAATGAACTGGGGTTAGCCGGACAACCAGCTACGCTCTCAGTTTCAACCATTATGCAGACAACTGATATAAACTCTGAGGTGGTTGGGTTTCAGCTATGTTCCTTAGAAGGAGGAGAGCTTATAGAAATCAATCGAGCTTTGACAGTCCGACAACTCCCCGAGTTAAAACGTTTTGTTCCTGGCCGAACTAACGATTGGGCTCATCTGCGCGACATCAACCTACAGACAATTGAAGGCGGGAGGGTGTCGATGCTGATAGGTATGAATGTACCAGCGGCGCATTGGGTGCTAGAACATCGATACGGTGGGAAAGCGGATCCTTACGCTATACGTACGCCCCTCGGTTGGACCGTCGTGGGACCGGCCTTTAGCCATGACCAAAGAAAGGTTCGCGTTGATTATATAAATGTGGGTGACTCTCTTATGTACATGTTAGAGGCTACGTGGGCCTCGGAGTTCAACGAATCTACAGTTTTGGGTAAATCAACATCAGCAGAAGATAAGCAAGTGCTCAGAACCCTAGAATCATCTACTCGGTTCTTAAACGGCCATTTTGAAGTCCCGTTGCCCTGGAAAGATGATTGCCTAAGTCTTCCGAACAACCAGTCGATAGCATGGGAACGTTTGTTGTGGTTGAAGACTCGATTAATGAAACACGCTGATCTTAAAGAACGCTACGCGGAGGTGATGAATAGTTACATAGCCAAGGGTTACGCTGAAAGGTGTCAAAATGTTATAGAGGACGTACCGGGTCAAGTTTGGTATTTGCCCCATCACCATGTAATCAACCCCATGAAACCAGAGAAACTAAGGGTTGTTTTCGACTGTGCAAGCAAACATCAGAACACCTCTTTGAACCTTCAGTTATTTTCCGGCCCAGACCTCACAAATAACCTATGCGGGGTATTACCACGGTTTCGAGAACATACTTTCGCCGTAGTGGCGGATATTGAAGCCGTGTTTCATCAAGTAAAAATACCTCAACATCAGCGCTCATGCCTTAGGTTCTTGTGGTGGACAGAAGGATACTTGGGACGTGCGCCAGAAATATACCAAATGACTGTGCACCCTTTTGGAGCGACCTCCTCACCATGTTGTGCCATATTCTCTTTGAACAGAGCAATTTCCAATAACGCGAACCAATCATTAGAGTTTGACCCTAAATATTTGCAAAGGTCCTTTTACGTGGACGAACTCCTCATTAGTTGCGAATCCATTAGAGAACTCCGACTAGTGACGAGCCATTTACAGTCTGCGGTCCGGGATTCGAGCTTTTACCTGACGAAGTGGCGTAGCAACTCGGCCGATGCCCTTATCGACGTAGCGGCCAAACACCAGGCCGACAAAAAACTGTGTTTGGACTTGAAACCGACAAATACGTATAGGAATCTAGGCGTCGAGTGGGACAGGACGTCAGATACGTTCAGTTTTACCACCAAATCACCTGAACCTGTGATCAGCAGAAGATCAATCCTGTCATACGTCGCCTCGTTGTATAGCTGTGACCCTTGCAAATATGCCGTGCTGACCCCGAATCATCTATTACTTGGCTTTCGCAATGCATCCTCCAATGAAAGTGAAACGGAACCTTGCAAGCTGAATCGGCGATGGCGGCAAGCTCAACATCTCACTGAAAATTTTTGGCGTAAATGGATCAGGTCGTACTTACCACTTCTGCAAAGCAAGCAGCGTTGGACAGAAACAGCGCAGGAGCTGAAAACCGGTGACCTGGTGCTTATAGTTGACAAGAACTTGCCCAGAGGCGAATGGAAAAGGGGTATTGTCAAAGAAACTCGACTTTCCAAAGACGGTGTTTTCCGCGATGTGTGCGTACAGACAGCCAGCGGACGACTCATAAGAGACGTCCGATATCTGTGTTTATTGGAAAACCATGTTTCCGAGTAAGAATAATTTGGGGCTCGTCAAGCAAACAGCTCGAACCCTGCGGGGATTGTAGGCTTCGTACAAACTAAACGTTTTTCTCACTGGCTACTAACATCCAGTTAGTAGTCACATTCTACATGTGAATCTCTCCCAAGTCATTCTCCTGTGTTGTTGGCACAAAGTTGGTCATTTTAGTGAACTCAGTCCCGATTCGTGATTGGTCCCTAATCCAATCTGACGGTAACGTGACAATATGATTTTATTTTGTTCACATGGATTTGATCTAACTCTTTCATGTGATTTGAACAGTCTTATCCGTTTCCCACTTTCTGACATTGACCTGAATTTGTTTGAATGAACATATGACGCTCCCGCCTGGTTTAACAGCAAATTTGACTATCCACGATCTGTGTCTCGCTCGGTTCAAAATTTGGCTGTATGTTTTGGCTATTCATTGTTCATTTACGTTGTATTGATTATAGAACCGTGTTTCGGAATATTACGTCTATCAGTTGAAGTCTTCTGAAATTTGTTCGAGACGCGAAATAAGCCACACCGAGAAGGAGCACCCTAGAAAGGCTTAAAGCAGCTAGGTCGTACGAACCTGAGTGGAATTCAATCGAAACGGTCAAAGTTGACGGTCGAAAGGATTTCGCTTACACGCATAATGAAAACGTTCGAAACCATAAGATCCCGTCGTCGGCCGTCGCTCGTCATCTTCTGATGACGCAACATCCAGCTGACCGAAGCATTGCGTTTCGGGTCATTTACGTGGCAAAGAATACCAGGCATTTGAGATTTGTTCAAACCATTGCCATACATTGATGGAAACCTAATATTGTGTCAGCAGAAACAGTTCTTTGTTCCTGTGTCTTTACCATGGTGACGTAACTTGACTATTGAAATTTCCCCTATATTTCTCGAAAATTATGGTTTTACATGAACTTATATAAACAGTATGGTTGTGCAGTGTGCACCATGTTGAGATGCAGCGAAATCGTCCCGGACATGAATCGTGCAATGTTGCAACTGGGGCTTTTTTTTCAAAATTATTTCGGGAAAAGCATGCCTAAATTTCCTCAGATCTCGTCTCCCGAAATCAACCATTAGGTCTCTCGATGACCTAGTCAGATTGAGATGTAAAATTGCCACGATTCGAGTTCGTATTAATTTTCTGGAACAAAATGTGTCCGTTGCAACAGATACCCGATTACGTTTTGCAAACGTTTACGGAGGAATAATATCTGTGCCTCTACCACGAATTTCAGACGTTTGATGCGATGTCAGATTGATGATTATAAAGAAAATCTAACGACACGTCAGACCAAGTGCATCGAATGATCAATAATTCTTGACGAACTGAGCCTCGTTAGCCGAATCAAATTTACCAACTTGTGCATGGGAAACATATGAAAAGCCAAACTTTGTACATTCAACAAGCTTCACAATTCCATCGTTCACAAGTTAGCCGAAACAAATTTTCCGGAATAACGAGAAACGTTTGTGAACAATTTGTCATCGGTTGCACGAATGAACTTCAACTACAGGCTCTTCCGTGCGGTCTACGTTTGTGCATACCACCGAGTAAAATAAACAGCATGAAAACACAGGCGCAATTCGAATATCTATTCGAACAACTACAAATAGTCAAACCAACTTGAAAAGATGCGGAGACTTGGTTCAAAGCAAAGCTGATTGACTTGGAACGACAGTACCGGATGACATCGTCCAAACATAAGTCACTCTTCACGCCTGAGCACATTCACATCCGCCATTGAATAGCTACAGTTGCGACCTGATTTGTTAGTTTTACGCCCTAACAAGGGGTCCGGAGCAGTGCTGATCGATCGGAATGATTATGAGAAGAAGATGGAAAGTTTTCTTCATGATTCCAGCAAGTTTGTACTCGAAGATGAAAGTGATAACACTAAAGAACTAGAACAACAGATATCGACAGGAGTACAGTTTCTACTAGAAGGACACTTCATCGATGAAAGCACAACTCACCATCTGAAGCCAAAAGGAACTCAAACTGCACAACTGTATGGTTTACCGAAACTACACAAACCCGGAGTGCCACTTGGACCAATACTACTACTACTACTACTAATAATACTACTACTACTACTACTACTAGAACTACTACTACTACTACTACTACTACCGATACTACTACTACTACTATCTATCTATCTATCTATCTATCTATCTATCTCTGACAAATTCACCACAACACGAATTGGCCAAATGGCTGGAGAAATTGCTCGAGCCAGTTCATAAATCAATGGTCAGACACACTATGAAAGACAGTTTAGAAGTAGTAAAGCTTTTGGACCAGATCAATGTGAAAGGGAAACACATGACTTCAGTAGATTTCCAATCACTGTTTACGAATGTTCCGGACGGGAGGTCATACGTATCATCTGTGACCATGTGGAGTAAAACCAACTGAAAATCGGTATAGGAGTATCAGT